CGTATCTAAATTTGGCAGTAAGAAAACTAAAATCACGTGAAGTCCTATTTTTTGAAAAATTTTATTACATTTTTGAAACAAATTACAAAATTGCTATTTTGAAATTTGGCCATATGGCGCAGCAATAGGAGGTCTTTAGACCAAGCCAACCATATTACAAATGGTCTAACGTGATACTTCTGTATATGTTGAACAAAAAATTTTTTTATATATAAAAGTCGAAACAAATTCTTCTGAATATATAACCAAAGGATCACTGCAAAATTTACAAGATATAAAAAGCTATTAGTTGAAGAAAATTTCATTTTTTTTCATTATTTAAGTTCACATTCGAAGTTATTTCGTTAGAAACCTTATCATTTCTTGTAACTTTATACAAAATTCTTAATAATCATAGGAATAAATAAAATAGAACTTCTAGTTTCTAAGATCTTTTAATAGTAAGTTCTGATCTCAAATGTATTGGTTTAAAAAAGTAATTTTGTTAACCAACTATACAAAATTTCTTATTAATAGTAACCTAGGGATATATAGAATGAACTTCTAGTTGTCTATTAATGAATATGCCATAAGTTTGCTTTTATCTAAATTTACAAACATTTGCATGTAAGGATTACTTAAAAATTTTTTTTTTTTTAAATAACTTGTTTATATACATATATATATAAATTTATAAATTTATAAATTTATTGTTTTATGAATTATTAGGAATATTATACCAATTGTTATATATGTATATATTCAATGGTAAAGTGAATAATTTAGTCATGATCAGAGAGCATAAATAATATTAATTGATTATTTTTATTATCAATTTTTTTGGATTAAATGAGATATCAATGAATGATATCAATGAATTTGCAGGTAAAGAAAAAAAATTATTGAATTTGTATATAGTATTAAAATCATTTATCAGGTTACTGATTTTTATGTGTGTATATTATATTTAATAGGTAAAAGGAATAACTTGGTCAGTTATAAATTATAAACACATTTATTTGTGTATATTAATTATATTTAATGGGTAAAAGAATAACTTGTTTGGTTATATTATATTTAATGGGTAAAAGGAATAACATGGTTAGTTATAATTATAAACACATTTATTTGTGTCTATTAATTATATTTAATGGGTAAAAGAATAACTTGTTTGGTTATAATTATAATAAACATTATTTTTATTATTATTAAATAACTATTACAGAAAAAATTAATGTGTACCAGGGTTGGCAAATTGACTGGTCCATTGAGAACAGTTGGATTTGGACTGGTCCATTGCCATTAATAAAATACTAAATATGGTTAAAGTGTTACACCAATGGACCCAATAGACCACCAATAGACCATCAATGGACCACACATTTGCCAACCCTGATGTGTACATATATATATATTAAAATTATCTATCAGGATAATATAATATATGTTAAATTGCAAAAATGTCATCTCATATTGTTTAGTCCCATATAATTCGGAAGTTTATGACCAGTCAATAAAGCTCTCGCCATGATTTTCTTGTTTTTTCTCTTCCTTTAAAGATTGTTTATATTTATTAACAAAAGGATCTGCATAAATTTAGCCAATCAAATTTTCTTCTAAAGAAATTCCAGAACGTTTATCATTTATAAATTAGGAAATACCAAATTTAGCATATTCCCTGACTGTATTAAATTACAAATAAAATAAATACAAATGAGTATGAACAAATGATTAGCCTAAAATATGTAAAATTGCTCAATTACTAAAAGGAAAAAATGCAATACCTTCTTAAACCTTATTATATTTATAATGCGACATTATGTCTTCGACAGGTCTCGATATAACACGACGAAAACCAATTACTACTATTACGAAACCTTTTAACTTATTAGGATCCGATTTGACTATCTGAATCCTTTCATCCAATACTCCTTCAGCAGAGTAACCAACGACTTGTCCCTTTGCGATCGTATTCATGTACGATCCCACCTGTTTTACTCCATTATTTAATATTCCACGTATAGATGTCTGTTTCATCTTATTTGTTCCTCAGACCAATATACATATTTCCTTCCAAGTAAAGATTCTTCATCTTCTTTTTCTAGAATCTTATCTAATTTTTCTAATTCATTCGCATCAATTTTTTTCATCGAACTTCCCTTAATATCTCTCATCAAACCAGTTAATGAAATGTACTTTAATTCTAAACTAATATTATTACCCTCAGCTCCTCCCAGAACAAAAACATCAAGATAGCCAAAGTGACCTGATCCCTTTTGTTTTTTGCTATTCATTACCAAACAAAGTTCTGGAACATGGTATCTTGATGGGAGAAGGATCTCGACAATTGCCTGGAGGACAGGCTCATTTGCCGAACGCAGGGACATTCGTGATCTTGTTATCAAGAAAGCCTTTACAATCTTTATAAAAGGAACGATATTACCCACGACAAGATTGTTATAGGCTAAAACAACAAGGAGGGCATCATCTGCAACCTGTGTGCACATCCAAATGTTTGATAAAGATATTTTTGTATGTTAAAATAAAATAATAGAAAATATAATTACTCACCTCAGATTTCAATGAGATAGATGTAGAAGCCTCAATTATGTTCTGGCTTTTTGGTCACAAAACATCTATATAATTGCAATGATTTTCAACTCTCAAGAAAAAATAATTCTCCATTCACATTATTAAATACCATATATTTCATACCTTTTCTGTTTTTTCTGTTGATTGGAAAAAATTTAATTTTGTTTGTTGCAAAGTAAAAAAAAAGAAAAAATTGTATTTTAACTAGAATGGCAAGTTGTTTAATAATCTCAAAAAACAATAATATTACTTACTTATTTAAATCTCCAATTCTTTTTGAAGGATTTATATTAAAAAAAAAAAAAAAAAACACGTAAATAAAATATTTATTTTATTACAGCCTGGGATTGCAATGATCACAACCATCATCATTTTCTTTAATAATTATAATTAATAATAATAATAATAATAATAATAATATTTACTCAACAATCTTGTGATGGTTTGTTTCATGTTTTCTTAGTTTGTTCCTTTTTGTGTCGTTTGGCCTTTGTAATAGTGAGGTACGTAAAATAAAGGAAAAGAAAGCAAGATGAATGAAATTTGTTTAGAGTACAATTAAAAGAGGAAGGAGGGAGAAATGACAATTAAGATGTGTGTTTTGAATAATTTTAAGAAAAAAACTAGAGTTGCAGCGATTGCAACAACCACCATTTAATAAACACTTACCCTTTGGAATCGGCGAGCTTGATTCCTTTGCGTTTTCTTTTTTGTTTCTCAACTACTGACATGGTTTTTTTTTTTAAAAAAAAGAAAAAGATTGTTATATATTTAGATCGACATACACAAGAAAAATTTTATTTACGCGCGTGTTGTTGTACAAAGATTGTTATTATTGTTGACGCGATTGATTTTTTTTTTTATTTTTTTATTTTTTTGGAAAAACAATTTATCTATCTCTTACAAGACGAGAAAGCGTAAACATTGTTGCATAGTATGGCTTGCTTTAAAGAAGACAAGGTGTTGTTTATTGATGGTGAGAGGTACACTATTTTTTTTTAATCATTTAATTGTTTTATAAATATTGATATACATGTATTGATTCTTTACTTAATAAAATGTCTTGTTGAAATCAAAACATGGAGCAGATCTTGTCTGTCTCTTTGGGTATTTACGAGATTCTTGATGATAAACGATTGGTATTGTTTTTGTTTTTTCATAATTAACATTAATAATATTAAATATATAATTACAAGAAAATGACAAGATGATACAACTGTTACAGAAGAAACAATTTAAATATGTTATGTTTGATTATTGGAAATTTACAGATGTCAAGGCATACATGCTACTTGAACACTATACAGTCATTCTCACACATTCCTTGTGTACACAAGGCTAATCTGACTTGTCCCCCCGATGATACAACAATGCAACAGAATTCCAGGGGGGGTAGCATTGCCCTGGAATTTATAAGAGCTTGCATCAATGTAAGGACACTTTTCACTAATCTTCCCCTCATACTGTCTGACCAGAGAAGGCTGCTGACATGCTGGCCGAAAAGTTGACTGCAACGATCCTACCTCTAGGGTAAAGATGACTGGCTCTGCAACCAAGAAATTGTGCAACCTGGGTCAAAGAGTTGTGATTTTAGGTGTACATCAACATCTAGACCATCGAAGCAATAAGAAATTTGCTGAAACTCATTTCAAGCCCGGGCAGGAATTTGTAATTCAGATTGGGATTGGGGACTCTGAAATTGCATTTGTGCTCTGATGTTAAGAGGAAAGTTGTAAAATAAAATGGTTCAGATTTTTTTTTTGGTATGTTATAAATTAATCATTCCCAAATTTTCTGTTTCTTTAATTTTTATTTGATCAAACTGAATTTGTTTTTTAAATGGGGACCTTTTCCCATATAACCCACCCTAGATTGGAGGAGTGTAGCTCAATGAGAGCATGTATCTTGACAAGTATAAAGGTGGCAGTTTGACTCTGCCCACTCCTATTGTGATAGTCACCATGATCATTGGCATCAAGGAGAAAGTTGTAAAATAAATGGTTCAGATTTTGTTTGGTATGTTATTTATAAATCAATCATTTTCCCAAGTTCTCTATTTCTTTATTTTTATTTGACCAACTGAACTTGTTATTTAAATGGGGCAGGGTTGTTGGTGAAAAATCTAAAAAGCAACCCAGGTTGCAACTTCCTGAGTTGGAGAATTTCAAAT